TACACGACCTTCACATTCCACCAGTGGAGCATGTCCCGCTGGTTGAGAAACACTGGACTAAAGCCAACTACTTCTTGGCTGCTGATGGGCAAATGGACCATGGGCCCCTCCCTAGGTGATTTGTAATCATTTAAAAAGCTAGTAGATGGGATATGCCTATGTCTATGAAATCTATGAAATGAGACCAGGGTTAAAGGAAAAATCTCTCTCCCCAACCATGTTAAATAAAAAAAAAAAAGGCATATTGGAAAATGCAGGTCAAGTAACCGTGGGCAGCTTTGCTGCATAGTCATGGGCTACTCGGTAGAGTGCACAGGGGAATGTGGTTGTCTGTGTTAGTCTGAAGTCAGGCAGAAGGCAAGGTAGGTTTGCACCTTATAGACTAGGGATGGGCAACATATGGCCCACAGGCTGGGTCCAGCCCACCAACTGATTGCATCTGGCCACAAACTCTTGGGATCCAACCCGTGGGCAGCCAGCGGCTCTGGCTGCCACGTGGTGCTGGGTGGGCAGAGCTGTTTCTGCTACACCAGGCAGGTGGGTGGGACTGCTTCTGCCCAGCCCCGACATGGTGGTGTCAGCTGTGGACCTGGGTGGATGTCTCGATCCCCACCCAGAACCTACCGTGTCCACAGCCGACGCTGGCACCCACCCAGGGCTGCTTCCGGCGTGCTGGGCAGGTGCTGGCGTGAGCTGTGGATGCAACCAGCAGCTTCCGGGTTGGGGTGGGGATCGCGGCTCGCTGCAGCTCTGGGCAGGGTGGGGATTGGGGCGTGCTGCAGGTTTGGGAGGGGTGGAGAACAGGACAGAGAGACGGAGAGAGAAGTGTGGCCCTCGAGAGGACACCAAAACTCAGTAAGCGGCTCTCCAGCCGAAATAATTGCCCACCCCTGTTATAGACTAACCAAAGTGTGTGCGTGTGTGCATACACAGAGCACAAGCTTTCATGGGCTAGAGCTCGCTTCATCAGCTGCACCAGGGACAAAGTCTGTGGGAATGTCAATACGACATGCATCAGACTTAGATTTGACTCACTATTAATAGGGGCTGGATGCCGGACCTCTCAGGAGGCTTAAGGGTCCAGTAGAGGATTTAAATGTCTACTTCTAAAACTGCAATCCTAAAAGCCCGACTCCACGGCTTCCCTTATTTTTTAACTCCCTCGGTGCCTAAAGCTGCACCTCTGCAAATGCCTTGGTCTGCCCCAGTGCTGATGGGGATGAGCAGCGTGGGTTTTAGCTCATGCCTACGTCGGATCAGGAGACAGAACTCCTTTGTCTTAGTCCCAAGAGGAGCTCAATCCAGCAGCTGGTCTCGGAGCACGCCCAGCACCTACCAACAGGTTCGAGCACCATGTTAAATGCATCTGCAGCTGCCCCTTTCTTTCCAAACGGCAGTGCTTGAAGGCCTTGTGGTGGTACCATGGTGGGGAACATAACTGCCCTTGCGCACTACTCAGAGGCTGAGCAAAGGGCACTGGGCTCCAGTCTAGAGGACTCCCACCCAAAAATAATGCACTAAAGTCCTTTATTGGTGCCTTACTGTGCTGAGGTTGCCCAATACTCTGGAAGAGAGGATTAACGGCTCTTGAAGACCATACAGCTTATTTTTATGGAGGATGTCTCACACCCTGACACAAAACATCTCCCAAAACCATGCTGGTGAAGAGGAAGGGGAAGTTTGGCAATGGCATTTGAAAGCAGGATCCCAGGATACGGTTCCAGGGAGGGTAGGGACAGGTGGCCACAGAGGGAGGTGAAAACCAGGCAAGCAACTGTGAACGGGATCTGCGAGCCAGAGGAAGCCACGGGAAGGGATGGAGGCAAGAGGCCTCTCAGGCGACAGTGCTTTGACCTGCTTGCAGTTGGGGGAAGTTTGCTCTATGGCAGTGCACCAAGCTGGAGGAGATAACCCAGCAAAAGTAGAGACAGTTAGGTGTCTTTCTGCTTAGATGTGGGGAGGGAAAGAAGACACCAGCAGGCCGACACGTCTCACTTCTATGCAGAGCGACGGCCATGCAATGATTTGCTGGCTTGGTGGCTTTCTGGCTGCTGGCAGAGGAGGCTGGAGTTCAGCTTAGTTTTCTGCCAGGTGTCGACACGTTTGCCATTAATCCTGAGGACTGGGCTTTTGTTGGAGGATGAAAACATCACTCTTTTACACATCCCCTTTTATGCAAGTGTCCAAGGCGCTGTCCACAGTGCCCCTGTGGCCAGGCAAGTCACCTGCAAGTCTTTCCCTCCATCTCTCACCCCAGACGGAGGAAGAGGAAATTCCAGGTGTGTATGCCCATGGAGCCAACACACACACACACACACTGGAGCCAGCAGCCCTGAGCTCTAGGTCGAGTTTCACCACTGACTCCCCGCCCCGAGACCATCAGAAAATGACTTGGCCAGTCTGGGTTTTGGTCTCTGGGGAGTCCTTCTCATCCTCCCTTGTGTTACACTGGCTCCCTCTAACAAAAGCTGCCGTAACTGCAGCGACTGCCAGGCCTTTGGCCATGGCAGGAGTTTCCCAAACTTCCTCACCGTGCACCACTAGCATCAGACTTTTAACTGAGATTAGCAGGGGCCTGCTGCAGGCTGTGAAGCCCTGACGGATGGTCTCGTGGACCACAGCGAAGGAATGTGTATGCTCAGGTATTTTCCTGGGTGAAGCGCTGCTCCTCCAGAAGTCAGTCATCTCCCCCCTCTCTTTAGCTGAACTCTGTAAGTCCATTGGCAGGTCTGGTTGTTTTTCTGGTCTGGTCCTTATGACAACATTTTAATGTTTCATATCCTGTATGCATCGAAAGCCAAGAGGGACAGCCCCAGAGGATGTGACAATCTAGCAACTGCATTTCCTGCTTACGCTGATTAACTAGACCTCATTAGGTGGGCCAAAGATGGAAAGAAACAGGGGAAATCACCATTATAGGAGACCCAAAGCATCTTGTGGAGCATTTAGTCCACTCCCTTCCCTGTGCTCCATTTGTATTCTGGCTTTTCCTAGCTTATTCTGAACGTGTCTTTTGTGATTCCTACCTCTTCCAGCAGAAGGAAGCTCAGGTCCTGTTTAGAGCTCGTGTGCTAAATTTCCCTGTACAGGATTCAGGTGTTTAGCAGAAACCTTCTGTTTTGATGAAATGGTAGGAAGAGGCCCTCAGCCTGCAGACTGCCTGAGGCTTCAAGTGAATTTGGGGCTCTCATAAAGAAGTATCCTATGCCCCCCGTTCCCTGTTGTGCCTGGCTCATGGAAGCTGCTTGCAGCTAAGGGGGATAGGATCTAGTCCTACAGCTCAAACTGTAAGGGCTCGTGGTTTTGGTCCAGGAAGGGGCCGTCCCCAGCTCTGTTCTTGCTCTTAAACCAGACGGCACAAACGCACATCAAAGCAGGAGCATCTGCACAGGCCACCTGGAAGGGAACCCACCACATCTCATGCCATTCAAAACCACAACAGAAAACTCGAAACGTCCCTGCTCTGCCGAGAGTGACGTGGCTTTTCCCCTGCCCTCCTCCTCTGTAATTACGCAGGCTTTGGGGCACGCACACCCTTTCGGTGACAGCCTGTGGCACCGAACCGAGCAAAGCATGTTTTTTTCACAGCTTGTGACTTGCTGCCCGTAAAACAAGCGGAACGCGTCAACATTCGTTTCTTTATTAATTCACACTCCGTAAAAACATTTCAGTTTTTCTTTCACATTCAGGAGATCTTCAGGAAATTATTGCCATTTCCCGTAGGTAAAAAATAATAATAATAATAAAAAGGTCAACAGACAAAGCAGCAGCACATCTGGAACTCCCTGCAGACACAAGAACACGACGCAAAAAGGACAAAAGAGAGTCAGTCGCCCGAGGAAGAAATGAAACCGTTTCAGCTGCAGGAACACTGGGTGGAAGTGACCATACTTACAATAGCAAGCCACGTAACACTTAGCAAGACCACTCTGCTACACACAGTACAAACTGGTAACACTTCGAAGGAGGATGGGCTTCTGGTTGGTTTGGACGGGGGAAGTTTTTTGGTCTAAAATCCAGCGGTTACAGTTTCAGTTGTTGGAAGAGTCACTTGGACGAGGGGTGGATAGACATTCAAGTATTCTTGGGCAGTCCTTAAATAACAGCAGGTGGGAGTATATCAGCTCAGCAGGATGGCCTGATCACTTCACTGATAGCCCCCAGCTCTTTGCTCTGGGTACACCCAGCACAAAAGGTGCGTGCAGGAAATGCCACACCTGAACAGCTCAGTTTAGTATCCAGTCCCAGAGAGGCCAATGCCCAATACATCTGAGAAAGGTGAAAACCCCCTGCCGCGCCTCCATCTGCCCAGTAATAGACCAGCTTCTTCTCGACCTCGGCCCCTGCTCAGCTCATTCCTCGAAGCGTGGAACAAAAAGCGACCCGAGCAAAAGCAAAACAGATAGGCGAGGTGTTGCCACCTGGCATTGTGCTTTTCCAGTTGCTCTCTTTCCTGATGCAGCTGTTTATTGCTTGAACTTTAAAACAAGGCTTCTTAAAATAAAATTTAAGAGGAGACAGGAACAGAGAGCAAGTCGCCTGGGTCTGGCCCTTTCACAGTTCCAGAGGGCCCAGGAGGACAGTAGTGATTTCACACTTCAAGGTAAAAAGAAAAAAAAAAAAAAATCACGTGTTTAAAAAAGAAAGTGTAAGTGAAATCTCTTGAAAGCCTGCCCTGCGTACAGCTCTGTGTAACCAGCATCTATACTCACATCTCGGCAGCCAGAATGGCCATTCTGCTTTAGACTAAGTCCACGAGGCTTTCTGTATTGCACGTCCATGAAATGCTTCTCTTGGAGTCACAGTTGGTGTCAGAGGACTGCGTTGTCTTGCGTTTCTCCAAGAG